TCCCAGGATCCTCCTTCCGGCCTTTCTTGTTTGCAGAGCAGTTACAGTAAAAGCAAGCCAACTTACCCATCATAAAATGCAAAACCCACAAAGCATGCCTAACTATTCATAATGACAAAGAAATATTTCACCAAATCAAGTGTGAAACGCCACTGACACCAAACCACATACATAAACAATTCTGAATATGTGTAGCTATTCTTTTCTCACATTACTGATCCCTCAAAGCTAGCTGCATGCAATGCTGAGTAAACTTACCAGCTTTGAAATTGCACTCTGTTCCATTCAAATTTGTGATCTGGATGCCTGAATAATGTCACTCCTGGAAGCAAAGGGTTAAATTCAGAATTTGGAGTACTGATGACAACTGTGCTTGGAGCCATGAAACCAAACACCACTTCAGGAAACTTCTTTAGTTCCGATTCCTCCAAGTGCTCTATTCTGTAAAGGATAAGTTTATGTCTTTAAAAACACCCTACTGTATTTTAATCTTCTTAACAACCAGTGAAAAAAAAACAACAAAAACAAACCCACCTGTATCTGTACCTTGTAATTTTAGGCCTAGTCATGCAATAGTAGCACCAGCACTGTGGCCGAGTGGCAGCTTCGACATTTTTGTCTGAGAGAATTTCCTCTTGCATTTTGTGCATTTTCATCAATATCCTTTTTCCACTATAAGCTAGCACCACTCAAACTTCTTAGTATGGTTAATTTGAACACAAGTTAGAAGACACTATTCTGCTTGAAAGGTTTGATCAAGTCTGTTTAGAGTACAGCCAAAATTCCAAACTGAACCCTAATGAACTTAGAAAAATGTAGTATGTTGGCCTAATACTCACAGTTCAATACACGTTACCAAGTCAAAACCAAGCATGCAAGGATCTTTATGGGCAACTGAACCATGATGCAGGGTGACAGTGAGGGATCTTTGAGCTGGTTGCAAATAATCACCAGGAAGAGGAGACAATCTATGCCTACAAAAGTATTAAAAACATGATGTCATAGAAAGGATCTTAGGACAAGATAAATTGTGAATGTAACTGAACTAGCTAACACCCTACAAAGATACCTCATAAATCTCAAAAAGGTTAACTGTTTTACAGGGATAAAAAATAATTTCTAATACAAATACTTTTTATGACTACCTACCATAGGACAGAAAGAGCAGAGGAGTTAATCCAGAAGTTGTCCTTCATGTTTACAAAAGTTTCCACTATATGCTCAAGCCACTCGGAAAGCTGCCTGTAAATTCTGATAGTAGCTCAACTTTAGACACGCAGTAAGTCTGGCTTAGACATGCTTTACAGGGTTTTTGGGGAAGTTATTAGGCAAACATATTAACCTATTTTTTGCAATTAAAACAGACTGAGACTAAAATATATGTGCAAGTTTCATTCTAGAATACTGCATTGGACAAAACACACAATAAGCATCAAATATAACATAAGGCTACTTTTCTTCATTCTTAAAAGCAAGTGATAACATCAGCATCTAGATCCTACATATTCATTGAAATCATATTAATCAGTTTCCAAGAGAGAAACTTTGGTGTTCCTCACCAGTCTGACCCATGCTTCAAAGATCGTACAAACTTCACATTTTAGAGCCTTCTAAGACAGACATAAAATATTGAGCTAACCTTCCCATTTTAATAAGATTAATAAGAATGACGTCCCCGCCACGGTGACTAAAAGAGAGTTACATGCACATTTCAAAAAGATCAGATTTGCATACCACAGTAATGTCATGTACAAGCATAAAGAGATACTACTAATACAATGTATTAGTACCTTTACAGTGTATTTCTCAGACGTACAGACCTTCAGGGCCATTCCATGACTTGCACCTTTGCTATATTAGGTGATGTTAGGGGCACCTATAGCTCATTAGTCCCGAGACACAACTGCAATGTAACTCATGAACAACAATGGATAGATATTCATTTGCCAAGCTGGTATTTCTGCATTTACCTTCATTTTGACATCTTTTACAAGAAAAGATGTAACACGCCACTAGGTGAAGCCTAACACAAACCTTAAATTAATACAATGTCAGAGCTTACATTTTCTCTTTCATTACACTTGCACAGATATCTAGTCCAGCTAACACTTCAATGCAACTGCAGAATTTCAGCATCCAGAGAAGCGTACAGTCAGCACATCCTAAATCTGCCACCTGTAAATTAGATATTAAATAATGTGTAAATGCCAAATAATTTCAGAATTTTTCATAAAATAAAAATTGAATTTATGTCAAAGTAACATTTTAATGATAAAACATTTCACAGTCATAACTAAAACCTACAGTTGCACGCAGGATAGACTTGGATTTGAAAATCCTTTTTAAAAATGCATACAAATCCTACAAGATGTTTTAAATGGATTAACCTTTTGTTATTACAGCTATAAACAAGTACACATAGAACATCCCACTGGCTCTGGAGAATGTCTTCCACATGAAGGCATATTCCCTCAAATAACTGTAAGGTATGATTTTGAAGTATTAAAGCTGTAGCAATTTTCACATTCACCGCTGCTTTTCACTGGCCTACTCTCCATCCAAAACTCTGAGAATAGACCCATCAGCAGCCAGGTTAGCAGTAAAGGATCTGCATAAAACAAGTTTACAGGTTCAGTGTAATGTTTAAGTGGGGAAGGCTGTGGATATTCAGACCACAAATATACAATAGATACTCTTTCCTGCAAGCTTAAGAGGTAGTTCAGTACACAAACTAAACCCCACCATTCTTTCTCAGATTAAGTCAAGGTTGAAGCACACTGCTCAGTACTCGGGGTGAAATTCCTAAATTTTTTCTATTCAACTTACCTCTACCCTGTGGGTAAACAGAAAGTTTACACACACACCCATTTCACATCCTAAATCAGAAAATTAAAACCTTTAAATACAGATGCAACACTCCTGAATATGTTCTATTTAACAGCAGATTATAGTGCCATGACAACATAGGCTGGATTAGATTTTTATTAGCTACTAGAAGTAAGATTACTTGAGCACACTGCAGTTGCATTTCTTAACAATTTACTGCATGCTCACGAGACATTAACATCAGCTTCAGAGTTAAACACAGAGGTATTTCTCAACTTTTTACATGTTGGAAGGAGGTGCTGGGGGGAGGGCATATTAGAAAACAGCAAACACTACACACCATTACTTAAATAATTGAACCGTTCAAGACGACTATGGAAACAAGAACCCTGGTATATGGGGGTGGGGCAGGAGGAAACAGGAGGGGGTGACAAGACCTTAAGGAAGTGGAGGAGAGTAAGCCTTACTCCCACGCTTCTAATGCCACTTCTCATCTGAGAAGATCCATGGGAATGATGAGGTAAACCTGATACCGTATATGGAACTAACAGCTCTGGAAAGCAAAACTTAACTATGATGAAAGCCACCTGAGCCAAAATCCTCAGCATTAAATTAAAACCAGAATGTAAAACCAGAATGCCACACACTCTCCAACACAGGCTAAGGCATTTTTCTTGTTTAGAATTTCCCCTCTTCCCATCAATTAACATTAACTATATGCACCCCTGAAAAACAAAACATGATCATGAAGTGTCTGCTAAGGCAATTCAGTTTTAACAATAGCTCAACTACTGTTGTTTTGTAATTAGGTCAGCAGGTTACCTATGCTTTTCCTGTCTTCCTGAGACACCCAATGATAGTTTTTTTCAAATTTATGATATAAAAAGACAAAATATACCAACCTTCTTAGGTTTGTACTTCCCCACCAAATCTTTAATGAACTGGTAGCGTTGTTCATACAAAGGAGGTGTAAATTTAATAATTCCTGTAAACTGTTCTTCTTGAAAGTTCTTATCCATAATATTTTGCTAATGCTAGAATAAAAAAAAGTTAACTCTTATTTTCTGCAGTACTTTGTAACATATAAAATTACAGAGTCTGCCATTTTCAGTGATGTTCAATTCACAATTAAGCCAAAGTAGGCCTGCTCCCAGTTCTATTCACAGAACAACAGAAACATAGGAATTAGCAAAATTAGACTCTAGCTGCTCCCTCCACATATAATGATGTAAATATAAACAATGTAAAAAAAAAAAGATGTAAACAATTTATAAACAATTATAAATCATATACAATCATTAAAAAGCAAGTTTCAGAATTTGTCAATCTCCATCCAGCACACCTACATAGTGTTTACACGACTGCAACATATTTAATCTTCCTTAGCTTTTCTGGCAAATGCAGAAAAATAAATAATTTCTCACTCAGGCAGCTGCCATCTTGTCTGGCATCTATCATTTGTTTTCTCTTACAATTCAGATAGTTTTATATCTAGATCTGTGTATGTATGGTTGAATACAATTTCTACAATGTAGCAACTAGCAAATATCAGAATTACTGTTGTGGAAGAAGAAAGGTTCTGCTGTGCCTTAGTTTTAGATTTACCAAGAGCTAAACTTTGTTATTCGCGCCTGCATTTTATAAGTAATCTAACATAATTCAACATAGCACTAGTCATAACCATCCACCTTTTATTAAAAACTACATTTTATCACACATAAATATTTAACAAGAAATATCCCCATTAAACCTAAATTGAGGCCCTAATGAATGACGAATGAACACCATGGGAATCACGTAAGTGAAGGAAGGTGGTCCCGCAGGCACATGGCTTTCCAGAGCCATCCTCCCCGGCAGCAGCTGCAGCCCAAGGCTCACTAGCAAGTCCAACACAACCTAAGCAGCTTGGCGACTTGACCACCCCATAGGGTCTTTTAAACATAAGTATAAACATATATTAATATAT